GCGTTAAGCCCGGGATTGATGGATGTTATCCACAGGGCGATGATCGTTCTTAGGCAGTTTCCCATGACTGAGGGTAACGGTGATCATCGCACTGGGTGCGTTTATTCTTGGGCTAAATGCCGAATGTTTTCTGGCCTTCTCCAGGAATTTCGGAGTTTGAATAGACATCCGCCTCTCAGGCTACTTGTGGTCAGAGACTCGTTTGGATTTCACAATCTTTATAAAATATATTCTTTTATAGCATGAATTATTTCTCACATATATTAAAAGGGACAAAAACAGTTATGTGCTGTCCAGTCATGAGCTTCCTCGCCTTTTGGATCAGTAAAAAGTCTGCAGCAACTGCTCACAAGCATCCTGGACATCCTTTGCTCACATTGTCCAGCTTTTTGGAGAAATAGCCCACAGGTGTCCTCCAGGTTCTCAGCTTTTCCTTTAGGACTCCCAGGGCTAAATGCTGCCTCTCATGTACAAACAGTTCAAAGAGCTTGGTTTAGTCAGGAAGCTGGTGCTGTCATTAATGCCTTCTTCAGTTCTCAGAAGGCAGTTTGGCACTTAGGAGTCCACACCAATTGTGCTTCCTTTGTTTTTTTTAGGGCTTCATAGAGGGGCTTCACTAAAAGTCCATAGTTTAATATCCACAACCAGCACCACCTGACCATTCCCAGAAAGCCTCGTAATTCTCAGATATTCTGCGGTTCTGGAGTTTGGCAGATTGCTTCCCTTCTGTCAAGGTCAAGAATTCTCTGCCCTTCAGTGATCTCAAAGCCCAAATAGTTCACAGTTGTTTTTCCTATTTGAGCTTTTCTTTTAGTTATTCTGTAACCATTCTGTCCCAGAAAGTTCAGTACACTCATGATCATTTGTAGGCATTGTTTTTGGGTCTCTGTTGCCAGCACAATGTCATCCACATACTGTAAAACTGCTCATCCAGTGTTATTTTTCCTCCATTGTTCTAATTCTTTTACTAGTTGATTTCCAAATGATCCCCTAAAGCCTTCTCTCCATTTCCAGTCTACTCTCCCATGACCTACGTATGCATCTAGCCATGTTCCCCAGAAATTCATCATTCACCCCACCCACTCTTTGCCGCAGAGCAACCATCAGCTGTAAATCATCCTCGTCCTCTCTTCCACACTTTAGGCACTTCTGCCCTATGCTGCATGTAGAACAACACCTCTTTGAAACCCTTTGCCTTTCTTTTCCTTTTCAAGTGCTAAAATTAATGGATCTTGTGGGGTCCTCCAGCATTCCTATTGCCACTCCTGATGATTTCTTACAGTGAAAAACAAGTCAACATAAGCAACTTTATCCCAGTTATTTTCCCTTCTACAAAGCAGCATTAATTGCAATATGGTGTTACACTGTAAGGTTCCATCCTTAGGCCACTTCTCTTGATCTTACAGAGTGTAAAGCGACCACAACTGATTACAAACTTCTGTAAGTTTTTCATGTGAGGAGATCACCCCCAATTTGTTTCCAACGTTTAAAGATGCATCCCAGTGGTGACACCTGTGACACCCCTGAAATAAACAAGGGCCAGGAGACTTCTTCTCCTTTTTAATGCCTTTATTGAAAGTGATCAGCTCAGGATTGGGTGGCTCGGCGGGTCTGCAGGTCCTGTTGTCTCCCAGGGCGACTCAGAGGAGGAGGATATGCGCAGCTCTGTCCACAAGGGGCAGAACTGGGGGAATCCAGTCCTCGTGGGAGCCTTTTGGGCGTGGTATTCCCCGCCAGGTGGTACTTTTGCCGGCTCAGTCGGCCTGGTCTCACCGCCGGGGTCGTCTCTCTTGGTCAGGGCGAGAGGGTCCGAAGGTGTTCCGCGTCTCTGCAGGCTCAGCATTCGGCTTCTCACGTCCAGACATCACTCCAGTCTCTCAATTCTTAGGTGGCTCGTGGTTTTGGGGTTTTCTCCGTACAGCGGGGGACCCATGCTGCATTGTGGTCTTGGAGTCACTTTGCATAGCCCCCCTCACCTTCTCAGGTCTCTTCACCCTTCTGGGAAAAGAACACCTTAGCCTCGGGCGAGGCTCTGCTGATACAAAAGGAGCGATTAGCCTCAACGACCCGTGATTACAATAACAAAAGACGAAGAACTTGGGCAGCTAGTGCTCTGGCTGCCTTTTTTGCAACTTTTTCTCACAAAAAAAAATATTACCCGAATTTTGTTCATAACACCCCTTTCGAGGTTTTGTTTCCCATTATAACCAATCACTGTTTAGGAGCTCCTTAGAAGGGACTCTAACCTTTCCCTTTTTGAAGGGCCTCTAAACCTTCCCTTTTCCCACCTTAGGTACCTTTAAATCCAACCCTGCAAAGCTTTTGCTGCACCTCACAGGCAGGTTAACAGTTAACACCTTTAAAGTAAAGAATGCCTTTGTCTTACAAGGGGTCTTGCTCCGATTTCCTTCAGACCAGGGATCGAAGGTTCTCCCTGAGTATCCCTCGGTGCTGGCTGGAGGTCCTGTGATCCCTCGGATTCGTTGAAATTCAGGAGTATGTTCCACCTGGGTTGCAAAAACTGTTACCAAAAATTTGGTAAAAAATAAAAAACTCCTTAACATCAAGGTAGCATTAAGAAGCAGACATTCTTTATTTGGCTGTATGCATGGGGGGATAGCTCCTCCCAAATTCATGCATGCTGAGTACAGGACAGTTTCTGTTTATATACTGTATTTTGCATACATATTCATTGATTGTCCTGGACTAAACGTACACATGATAATAATTTCTCTGAAATCATTAACATATTTGCCCTCCCCTTTACATATGTGTTCTTCTGTCCTGTGAGTCTCTCTGGAGGTCCCTGGTGGTAATAGACCCCAATGTTCCAGGTGACCTGGCTGAGGTGGCAGGACACTGAGGCTGGTGAACTTCCAGTTCTCCTTCTTACACAATGGGCCTTGTGCAGTTTCCATTGGCCAGTAGCTTTGGAGAACAAGCAGTGTATTAGCTCACCAGGTATAGGACGTTTATCATCTGGTAACACAGGCAGAGTTCACACCATCATCTGCACCACTTCTGCACAGACAGATATTGTAGCCTGCTCTGAGGATAACCTAAAATCAGATTTTGTCATAACGTATTTCACATTAAGTGATTAAACCACCAAGACAAGAATCTCATACTAGGACACATGCAGATGAAAGCAGCTCTGACTACAATCTGGCTTTTTTCCAAGGACAATGGAAAGCAAGCATAAAACCAATCAGGATGCAAAAGAAAGATTTCGATTGAGGGCAAAGACACAATTACAATTTTTGTCTGTTGCAGAAAAATTGAAGTTCTGTATTATTATGAATGAAGACATTTCTCAAGAAAAAGATGTAGTGATTTTTTAAAATTTTATTAAATAGCACCACAAAGGGCTCTTCTCTTAGATTCCCTGATGTTTTGTTTACTCATGTTCAGTTTTTTGCATGAAAGAACTGTTGTGAAGTGAGTAGCATTGAATTAATATATTTTCCTTATTACAGCAGCTGTGAAGCCTGTTTTTCAACACATAAAATCTAATAAGCAATTAAAGGTGCAGAATCATCATCAGCCTTTGTTATACTTCTGGTGAAGTAAAGGTCTATAAAATAATAGAATTTTAAAATAGCTAGTCTTACCAGACTTTTGTGCTGCACCCACCAGCTCATATTCCTCATATTACTAAATTTAGGAGTGAGACCTCAAAAGTGTTGTATTGTGGAGGTCTGTGTAGGAGCTCATGCAGGAAAGATTGAATCTTTGATTTTCAATCGAATAGTAGGAGCACCAAGCCTCTGCATTTCCCCAGCTTCCTTCTCACATTTATTTATTGCTAGTGTCATGTACTCATTGCTAGAGGGAAAAAAAAAATTGCTATGGGAAAAAATGAACAATTTGATACAACAAACAATGCTAGTGATCAGATTTACCAGAATGAAGTGTGGAGTGTCCCAACTGTTTTTTCTTCCTGGGAGGAGTGTGTTCTCAGTGCATGTCCAGTGTTCATCCCTGTGAAACTGATCTGAACTACCCAAACATACAGCCTGCTTCCTCTGAATTGCACCCATTTAAATGTCTTCACTGATAAGGGAGGACTTGCAAGGAAGTTGTCTTGCTTTAATAAAATCAGATGTCTGCCAAGGAAGGCGGGAACCTTCCTAGAATGGAAACATGATCCCTCTCCCTCCAAATTATTATAAATTTGAAATGACAGGGCTTCCAGGCAAAAATATGGGAAAAGGAATAGACGTTCTTTACCAGAAAATATATATGTATATAAGAACAGAAGAAACAACAACAACAAAAAAAAAAAACAATAACAAAAGTTTTCCCACCCATTAAGCACCACTTTCCCCTTTGGTGTAGTTATGACCGCAACCGGCAGGGGGTGCTGGTGGCTATGGTGAGACAACAGCTGCAGTGACTACCTTGCAGCCGGCAGAGGGTGCTAGCAGTCTCTGGTGAGGCAGGGAAGGTGTGATGATTCCCCCGTGGCTTCAGGAGGCATTCCAATGTGAGCTCGGCAACCTCCATCATGTGGTGATGGAGGTTCGGGTGAAGGGGAAGAGAGGAAATTGCTCCTTTTCTAAACTCACAGGCAGTAATCAGTTTAGGTACCACCCCTGGCAGCAGGCAAGAGTGGTGAAGGCAGGCAGATCCAATCCTAGTACCAAGTTACAATGTAGTAGTACCCCCGGCCAGATACACACACTCCACCACTCACATGGACACTCTCCTTGATCCCTGAACCAGAAGGGAAGAGACAACCTAGCCCTGCCCCCATCCCCCCTGCAGGGTCCTGGTTGAGCTTACATATCTCGCGATATCCCCCAAACTGCAAAGGGGGGGGAGGGGGGACAACGAGGGGGAACTGTGACAATTTCCGGTACAAATGATTCTGGGATATGCCTTATAAGCCCTCCCCAAAACATAAGTGAAACAGAGAAAGCAAAATATATGGCTTTGCTCTAAACTATGTGGTACTGAGCTTTACTGTATGGTTAATGGGCAGCATTTAATTATTTCAGGCTCGTCATTCCCAATAAAGGCTATTCGTCATTAGATCAGAATCCAGATGAAAAGCCACTGGTAGCCCTGGATACAGACAGGTATGCAAAGGGTTAATAAGATTTTATGTATATATATTACAGTGCAAGTAAGTTTTCATGCTATAGTGCAGCACTGAAGCGAATTTCTGCTGAAACTGCTCCTGTGGGACACTTGCACTCTTCCTTGCTGTGCCCTTCAGCACATGCTGTAACAAGTGTGTGTGTAAACAAGTAGGAAGAGACGTGAGTCAAGAATACTTTGATGGAAAGGTCTCTGGGTTACAGATGAAAGTTGGTCTCCAGACTCCCTTGATGTAATTCCTCTGTGGATGAAGTACAGCTTCATGACACAAGAAAGATAGGGCTAACCAGGGAATACAGGTCTCTTTAACTGTTGTTTCCTTCTTTGATGCATCTTGTCATTCCCTGCAGTGATGATGACTTTGACATGTCCAGATATTCCTCCTCAGGATACTCATTAGCTGAGGTGAGTTACATTCTTTCCTGACATCTTTGCCATGAATGCTAATAGTTGAACAGCCAGAAACAACGTAGAATGGCCTTGTGCTGCCAGAAACAGCTCCACAAGGAATTTACCAGTGGTGTAGACTCTATGAGCCTGGAAGGGGCCATGGCAGAAACTGTGTCATATTTCTGTCTTTCCTGGCAATCCAGTTGGCTCCATCCCTACACTTCCATGGCACAGACACAGATCTGCCCATTGGCTGTTATCACAGATACCTTTGGATTCACTCAAGCTTTTCCCAGTTCTGCTCAGTCGTGCACTGTTGGCCCATGTGGTGCAAATGCATCAACTTTTCTGTCACAGCAGATCAGAAACTGTATGCATGTGAAGGACACGGATAAAGGATTTGAGGGTGTGCTGTGATTTCCAGTTCTTATGGGAGTCAGGGTCACCCAGTGCATGTTTATTTGGAGCACCAGAAATTCTAGGGAGGACTTGCAGATATGAACTTCTGCACTTTCAAATAGAAAAGGCAGGGAAGCTCTGGCTTATTAATCCCTTTGCATTGTTTCTGAATATATTCCCAAGGTCTCTTGTGAATTAGTCGTTCAGGCTCCAGGTACTGCTTCTGCAGGATCTGATTTTACATCCAAGGTGTGGAACAGCCATTATGCACACAAGCCACTGGGAACTCTTCCCCTTTGTATCCCTTCCTTGGCAAAATACCTCTGAAATGCAGAGAAATGTCCAAGAGCAGGGACCAGATCAGCTGATCTGGACCATCTCTGGGCCCTGATGAAGTGTTGTTCACCCAGATCTGGCTAGACAGCACTTGAATTTGAGATTACAAAAAGTCAAGAAGCTTTACCACCTTTCAACTGCTACAGTGCCCCAGACTGAAAGGAGGGATTGCCCAGCTGCCAGTCAGTTTATTATCATTATTATTACATTACTTTAAATGGGGATTAATCTTTATGGAAAGATTATTCCAGATTAAAATACTGTATCAGTTTGATATTCTAGATATTCCTATTCTGGAAGAAGTTTAAAAAATAGAAGTCAGGTGTCTTGGTTTGAAAGACAGATTTCTGCTAAGGAAGGCAGGACCCTCCCTTGTAATGGAAAATATAACACCCTTCCTTCCGAATTATTATAATTTTGGAACTAAGGGGCTCTCAGGCAAAGATATGGGAATAGGAAAAACAGTTCTTTACTAGTATGTATAATAAGGCAAACAAACAACAATAACTATGACATTAACAACAAACAGAACCAGAAACCCAGTAACAGCCTTCCCAGACGCAGGCTCTTTCCCCTGTGGTGTGGTGATAGTCACAGCCGGCAGGGGCGTTAGTGGCTCTTGGTGGGCAGGGCGGGTGCGATGATTCCCCCGCGGCTGCAGGGGGTGCTGTGGCGTGATTTCGGGGAGCATGCGATAATGGCAGACTTGACCGAGATGAGAAGGCATGGAAGAAAGGCTTGCTTTACAAACACCCCAGGGGCATCTGATCGCAGTGCCCCAGCAGGACTCTCGGAAGCAGCAAGCTGGAATGGCAGGAATGAGCAAAAATCCTGGGGTGGTGGACGCGATGTATCAGAAGCTCCGCAGCTGTAGGTGGAACTGCGGGACGTCTCGGCAGGCAGGGAGTGCGAAGCTATAGTATAGCGAAAGCTCGGAGCAGTGATGAAGAAGAAATGGCGGGGGCGGGGCAGCGGCAGACCCGGTTCTGAGCAGGGCAGGAAAAAGTCCCAGTACAACGGCTACTCTTACGAACAGAGCTCCACTCACGGTAGAAGACAGGCAGCAGGAGACTGAATCCCGCAGTGGTGACGAATTCTCTCTACATCGACCGCAGCCTCTCTCCCCTCCAAATGCTGAGAGCACAAGAGAGTTAGGGGCTGCACCCAACGCCGTTTACCCAGTCTAAATCTTCCAGTATCTCTGCTGTTCACGAGAAACCCCATGTAAAGAGAGAGTAGCCAGCTGCACCCCTCCCCTGAGCCGTGACATCTTCTTTTGTCTCTCTTAAGTAGCCAGTTGTTATTGTCTCCTAGCAACATGTATGAGGGAAAAAAAACCCCACAAAAAACAATAGGAGAACTAAAACCCCAACAGCAGCCCTCACCTGTGGTCAAAAACTGGGACTCTTTCATTGATGGGACAGCTGCTAATGATAGGGAAATATATTTCAGAATAAAGGACTTCTTTCCTCTTCCAGCCATCAGAAGGAAGAAATCTCAAGTGTTTGTCTGTTTGTCTGTTTGTCTGTAGCAGATCAACCAAGACTTGAACATCCAGCTCCTAAAGGATGGGTACCGGTTAGATGAGATCCCAGATGATGAGGACCTCGACCTAATTCCCCCTAAATCTGTGAACCCTACCTGCATGTGTTGCCAAGCCACCTCTTCCACCGCCTGTCACATCCAGTAGTGAGGCCAGCAGTGCTTTCAGTGCTTTCCACTATAAAACTTAAGTCATCACTTCCTCCTATGGTAGGACATGCACCTCTTTGTGTTCATGGAGCCAGAAGAAACTCAAAAATTTATGATTGGTTAATAAGTTATTTTAAACTATGATAAAACAAAAGACAAGTTGATCAAAGTGCCAGGCACTGCCTGGCAGAATGTACTGGTCTGGAGAGCAAATGCTCTCTGGTCCAGAGAAACCTCCTTGGTTTGTTTAGGCACTGGAGATGTTTTGTAAGGTGTCTATTCCAGAATGGGAAGGGTGAGATGGAGCTGCAGTTACTTCTGCCCACTGAAACCAGTCCATCTACAAGATCAGGGGCGAGTCTCAGGTGTCAGAGGGTTTTACCTGTTGGAGAAGATCAGTTCTTAATTGATTCACTAAACCTGATACATTTGCATAACTATACTTATACTGTAACTGGGACATGGGAATAGGAACAGAGGAGGGCATCCTTTCTTATGGCAAGGCTAGTCAGGACTAGCATGATGCAATTCATTTACTTGTGAAAGGGACAAATAGGTGACATTTCACTGTGAGTCAGTACTAGTTAGAGCTGTTGTGTCACATATCCAATGCACTCTGTCCTTAGCTCCACATTAAATTATCACCAAACACATTGGATCATTGGATTCAATCTGCAGTCCATCCATGCTCTTCAGTTCAGGGATTCAGTCTTTGCCCAAGAATACCATACTCCTGAGTTCAGACCAGCCATGTATAATGACTTCAGCCAATACTTCATTTCTGCGAGACCCATGTGCTTTCAGAAATCCTAAAGTGTGTTCAGCTAAGAAAAAAGACAGAACTAGAACTGTTCAGCCTGAAGGTCAGTGCCAGAAAAACTAGTTGAAGAAAGCACATTTTCACACAGCTTGGCTGTTGATATTGTCTTGACACGGCATCTCTTGGTGCCCATGGGAGAGATTTATTAATGCTGAAAGGTGTCTTTGGTGGTGTCAGACTACTGTTGGCACATACTATGTTTGCTCTAACCTCAGACAAGTCACATTCCCTCTTAATATCCATTCCTTTCTGCAGCACAGGAGAGAAAGCTGCCTTCCCAAGATCCTACCACCACCCTGCATCCATCTGCATGGATGTTGCCAAGTGTGTGGTGGACACCATTGATAGTATAGTTCTGCAAGTAAGATGCAAAAAGCATTCTGTAGAAGTTTTGCATGTATTTTCAAAGTACTACAAAGAAAAGCAGCACAATTCTGCTTTCCCTCTCTTTACCATTTTCTGATGTTGCTTACATGCATCAGAAGGCTGCAGAGTGGAGGTTAGTAAAGAGATTAAAGAACTTTGGGAGCAGATGTTTGGGAAGCATGTGTTTCTCACACATTTGGCAGCTGACTCTTGCACAACTGACTTCTCAGTCTGCATGATGCCAGAAAGAATGTGTAAAAAGATTTGGTGGCGCAACAGCACCATCCACTGCTGATGAAGTTAAGGAACTTAGGAGTCCAACAAGGATTTAAAATACAGATGCCAACCCCTGTGAGAAACATGCACCTGGTCAGTCTGGCATTAATCTTGTGTAGGTAATCCCAAATCATAACCTCTTCCTTTATGCTGAGTTGCTGACTCTTCTGCTACAGGGCTTGTCCAGCTCTGTCACAGATGTGGGTTTGTATGATGAGATGTGGTTCAAGGTTTGGAAGGATCCCTTACATAGGAAATCCTTGAAAGGAAGTGACAAGGATGCCATGTTCTAAAGGTGAAAAGCACCTTAAAATGAGCACTTTTCCATGCCTTCCCCTTAGGCTCAACCTAGCCAAGTTTGCCCTGTGGCACTGCCCATTTATGCAGGTAGTTCTTTTGAAATGTGAGAAGTAGAAATAGGGTTATGTGAAGAGTCAGCTCTGAAGGGTGATAGAGTTCAAAGCCAGGGTATGTTTACATTGGCACATGTAGCCTGTGCTTGCTGAGCCAAGCAGGAGCCAGGTGATAAAGCCTACTTCATTCTAGGTAATAGTGGCCATTCCCTGTGTGAGCTTTAAGGGAGAATAGTAAAGGAAGAGCCCAGGCAAAAGTGCCAGTTTATACCCTCAGATCATTAAATGGATGCTAAAAGTAAGAGCATGAAACTGCCATGGGAATATCCCAAAGGAGCCATTCAATGCTCTCTTCCCTCCCATCACCATTCACTATCTCAGTTGCACTCTGAGTGTTATAGAGCAACATAGGCAACAGGACAAGTTGCATCTTTCCCTGATGCCTGTGGATAGCAGCTCTTCCCATTGCTTTCCAGACCCAGTTGCCAGCAGAAACTGGTGGTGACTGAGCCTTTCTCTTTCTGTAAAAAGCTGCTCCAGTAAAAGATGGATTTGCTCCTGGAAGGAACCCATCTCACCAGTTGTGCCTGGACTGTGGAGTCATTCCAAGTAACAAATGGTGATACAGGTGGTAGGATTGCATCAGGGAGTGGAAGATGCAAAAGAAGTCTCATTAAAATGTGACTGTCTCAAATGTGTCACTGGAAACCAGCAGAGTACGCACCAGGAAAAGAAAAGGCCATGCTGCAATAAGTGCTATTATCTGCCGAGATGTTTGCCCTCCCAGAGCAGCATTCTGTAGTTGCCCATCCAGCTGCCCTGGATGAACTCACTAGGAAGAACTGTTGTCTACCTGGGCTGCATTCTCCCTTCTGCACTGGTCCAAAAAGAGCTGTGACTCCACCTTCTCCATCTGTTACTCACCTTTCTCAAGTTCACATGATATAGGAGATGTGAAGCTTTTTGGGACATGTAATATAGACCCACTGAGATAGCTGTAAAAATTGGACAAGCTCTCTTCACAACATCCCTTCTGGTTTTTATCACCTTCATCTCCATCCCCAGCTCACTGATTTCTGGGCTCATTTTTTTCACGGAAAAGCTGGGATAGCAGCTGTGTTTGGCTTGTAGCTGCCTCTGTCCTGAGACAAATATAAGGCAACCATCAAATCAGCAGGACATCCAGCATCTGTGATGGTGGTTGAGACAGAGAGCAGACTGGAGTTTCTCTTCACCCACCTGAAGGCAGTGGGGCTGAGGGTTAGCTAGGCTAAAGTAAAACCTTGGTGTGAGCCAGCTGCTTTCATCCTCCCAGGCTCAGCACTCTGGGAGATCTGGCACCAATTAGGTCCCAGGCCTAAAAATCCATGTGAAATGGACTGCAAACCCGCAGCAGAGGCACAGTTGGAAAGCCAGTCAGCTGTGTCCCCACCATGCTGGGGCAGAGTGCACTGGTAGGGCTGTAGTTGTGCAGAGAAAAAGATGAAGTATAAAGTCTACAGGGAAGAAAGTTCAGAAATAAATTATTCTCCCCCTTTTTGCACGTTTTTTAACCATTTTTACTCCTTCCACAAGGGTTATTGAATCTTCAGTTTAAGAAAGAAGGAAATGAGCCAACATTAAATAGCTTTCTGAAGGGTTCTGAAAGCAGACACCACTTGCATGCAGTTGGTCTGTGCCTAAGATGTGACTTACAGACCTCATTGTACATCCTGTAGTTGTGTCACCATGTGTTGTGGGAACTGGGATGGGAGAATTAGTGCTGACCATCATGTCAAACAGCCCCAGCTTTCCAAACTGAAGAAGAATCAGACCATGAAGGGGAGGAAAGCAGTCGTGACCATAGAAAGACAGCTAATTGTCACAGGTAAACTTTGGTATCCATGTCCAGTGGCTAGTTCTAGAGTCACAAGCTTTGTTATATTGCAGACGTCCTCTTTCCACTCCTCTTTTCTCAAAGCAGCAATCATCTTCCCCCTCCCTCATGCACTAGTGATGAGCATCAGGGACAGTTGCACCCAAAGTAACTCAGCCCAGTTCTGCACTCCTCTCTCCCACTCAATCCCAAGGCAGCCCAGACAGTTGTTAGCCATCAGAAGTCTAAATTTTTAGTAACTCTGCTTGGGTTTCTTTCCTCATGTACCATAGCTTCCTCCCCACGCACTCTAGCAGGGCAGTACAGGAGGCTCCAACCATGTCCCAAGTAGTTTCTTTTCCCCCTGGCAGCACCTTACAGACATGAACCTTACTGTGTATGTACTCTGTCATTGATGGTGAGATCTGGTGTTGCTGATCTTGCATAGGTAGCAAATGATTGGGATCCATTGGGAGAAACCAGAAAAAAGTAGCTACTGTCCCTTTTCCTTTTTGAGAGAAAGTGGGATTTTTTGATATTATGATTATTGTCCACCTTCCAGTGGCCAAGTTCTGAGCTGCATTAATAATGGGTTAATTGACTGTCTAGACAGGTATGGAGCTTCACACCAACCTTAATGGCAAACACCATATCTCTATCCAGAGCCTAGATACAGGCTGGATTTCTCCCATGCTGGCAAAGTGCTTTCAGCAAGCTCCAGATAGCCATTTCTGTCAGACAGCACTCCTCAGAGTTCAGATCAAATCTGCACTTGCATTTCATGCCCTTAGCTTGGATAAAAATCAACCCAAATACTTCCCAGGTCTCCTTTCCCCATGTGGTGTCTAGTGCCTCAGGAGAGGCAATGGTGGAAGGCATTTGGGGGTCACCAAAAGCAAGATCCTTTTTGGATGTATTTAATGGAAATATCTTTCAGGAGGAGACCTCACAACCTTTGTGTAAATCTCAGAGCAGGAAACTAATTTCCAGCTGTCCTTGCATATAGTGAAACATAGTTCAAACATCCAAATGCAAAGTATAGTTAAATATTGGGTTTGACCTGAATAACCCTTTAATTAGGAAGATAAATTTGTTGTAGCTTGACCTTAGTTCATGTAAGGAACCTGTTAATCATTTGACATGCAGAGTGCATTAATGTTGCATTAACTAGGCTATTGGTTTTATTATCTAGGTTTGGGAGATTTTTCACTCTTGAAACATCAATCTGCATCTTGTATAGGGCAGGGGGAATGTTTCGTTCTTTTCTCCTGTTCAGATCATGTAGCACACTGCTGTACTTCTGTTCCCATCCATGTAGAATACTGCAT